GTTGTTTCTAAATTTATTATAAATGTTTTTATTTATTAAATAAAATTGTTCAAGTCTGTATAATATAATGAATTTTTCTCATCTAATTTACACACAAATATACATATTTTAGCTTTTTTAAAAAACCAATAATCTTGACAATCTTATTTATGTTATTGTCTTAATGATTAATCAAAAATCCTGTCTTGGTTTTGCCTCGAATTTCGAGACAAGACAAGACAATATCAAGAGTAGTCTTGATATCTCGTACAACCTTAGCAGACACGTGAATTCGATGCATCTCTCGCATATCTTCTCTTCCTTTTTCTTTTACACGACGTCATAGATGTTATGGATGCGCCGTCGATGCGCGCGTAATAATTCATCCTTCGTGCACATTCGGCGCGTATCCCGCGGCTGCTCTCGCTCTCGTGTCGCGCTGTAATTACCGTGCCGCATAAATTATGGACGAAATTACAACGTCGCGCAAAATATGGCGGATTCTACATGTAATTACACTGTTTTACCCTAAATGATACCGACTAACTGACATTACGCTTCTAAACGCAAAGTTCTGACGTTGAGTTGCGACAATGCTACCACTTGGCAGCCGGGGTATATTAGCGGAATTGCCGTGCCATCTCGCCCCGCCTCGTGTCCGCTCGTGCCTTACGTCGTCTTACTTCGACGTGTCTCGCCGTTTAAAAGACCGGAGACGGGAGTAGAGAGTGCATATACCTACACGTCACGTTCGTAGCCAGGGGAACCTTGCGCCACGCGTAAAAGTACACAGGTTGCCGAGAGGGGGAGAGAGAGAGAGAGAGACATCAGTGCCATAGTCACGCCGGCTCTTTGTTTCGAGCGAGCGCGAGGTCGTTGTCCCAATTCCCGGCCTCGTATCGGTGTCGTCGTCGTCGTCGTCGTTGTCGTCGATAGAGATAACAGCGTCGTGATAATTCACGATTTAGCGACGCGCCTCCGGCAAAGCTAATAAATTCCTGCAGCTAGGTCGAAAAGATCCACGGCGCCGATATGGAAGATGGAAAAATTATTATTATCCTCTGACGCGTATTTCCTCTATATCGTATTTGAGCGTAGGAGAGGCGAAGATATCGTATTTTACAGAGGCGATATTTATTTATTTCTCTGCGCGAACTTTGTCGCGCGTTTTTACTGCCCCTCGCCTTTTTTTTTTTTTTTTTTTTTTTTTTTTTTTTTTTTTTTTTTTTTTTTTTTTTTTTTTTTTTTTTTTTTTTTTTTTTTTTTTTTTTTTTTTTTTTTTTTTTTTTTTTTTTTTTTTTTTTTTTTTTTTTTTTTTTTTTTTTTTTTTTTTTTTTTTTTTTTTTTTTTTTTTTTTTTTTTTGCCTTTTTTTTTTTTTTTTTTTTTTTTTTTTTTTTTTTTTTTTTTTTTTTACGTCTTCCCCATATATACTCTGCATTTTTATTATTCGATACTATATACACACGTGTTGTCAAAATAAACATTTTTCATACCATCTATCCGAGGATCCGGATTTATTATCGCCGTGCGAGCGAGATACGCGAAGCGATGAAAGTTTTCGCAGAGTTTACGAGTTCACGATAATTCGTCCGGAATACGTGTTACATCGTATTCGTATCGTAATGTAATTTCGAGATGTGTTTTGTCCCCTCGAACGGAGAGCACCCGCCGACGCCCGAAATTGAAAATGCGCGCGAGCCTCAGGTGCACACCCTCGTAAATAATCTCGGTGCCATCTGTCTTAATAGGTGGTCCGGTTGGCTTTGTGTTCAGATGAAGGAGGAGAGGAGCGGGGGACGGATGCATCGCCGAGATGTATGTGTGCATGCGTTGTGCGCGCAGCTTGAATAAATAAACAATCCGGCATTCACTGGCTGCGCATTTAATATTCCGCGAGGTGATGTGCATATGCGACGATCTCGCGACCAAATGTCACGGTTTCGGACATACGTGTCACATGGAAAATGGAAAATCGCATAAATAAATATAAATGCATCATCGATTCCGGCCCGCGTGACGTTCCGATGTCCGAGTTTTTATACGACCGCCGCGGGCTCTTCCAAAGTGAGGTAAATATCGATAGATGAGGAATATATACATACACACACACATTAAGACAAGAAATTATTGTAACATTAATTCTAAAAATACGTGCTTTATAAATAATAAAAATACTTACATTTAATAAAAATGCGGCGTATTTTTCATAAATTGTTTCAAGTTAAAATAGCTAGCATTTATAAATATTAAAATACTACGATAAATCTTTCAAACATTTTTCTTTTATTTAAAGAGAATATTTGTCTCTTAATGTTTAATTAAAGAGACTTTATAAAGAGATAAAGGGACGATTTTTTTTTTCGGAATATCATATAAAATTTATTATCGGAAGTGCATTCGGAGAGACGTGTCAATTTTTTATTGTTTGCAAATTTTAAGTTGACGCTTTTACGATCGTGCAAGGAATTTTTCCCGTTTTTCTCTGTCATTAAAAGCGCACGGGCAAACAACCGTTTCAACGGCACGAGGCATGCTGGCTTTTATAGCTTGAGATTCGTTTCATGCGAGAGATTACGACATAACGACGTTACTCCAGTTTGCTAATTTAAGCTAGACAGCTTTCAGTTGATTTTCCACGATGGCGCTTTTTGAACCACTTATAAAAAATTCACAGCACGTGTGTATATATGGGACAAACGTATTAATGAACGATGAAATTATACGTGAAATAACATTATTTCCTTATTATAATTACATTATTCAAAAAAATGGAAAAAAAAAACATTCTTTAAATATTACATAATTATATAAAGTTATATGTATAGATTAAAACAAAATTTTTTAATCAAATATTATTAAAAGCGGCGCGTAAGTTTTTTTGCAATGTGCATAGAACAGCATAATCATATTTTTTTTGCCATAAATCAAAATGTGATATATACCACAAGTTTATCATATATTTAAGAAAATTAAAACAATTTTTTAGTTTAATAAAAAATAAAATATCCGGATATTTTTGTTCGGATCGAAAATTTCATATACGAATTTATTTGAAGTATCCAAATAATAACAACTATTCGAATATTTCCAGTCATAGTACATTCGTGGTTCAGTGTATTCGAGAGAGAGAGAGCGCATACGTATGCGATGAGAGAAAGTACGGGACGAAAGGATCGAGAAAAACGTTGGGGAGGGGAGGAGGAGGAGGAGGGGACAC